AATTTATATCTTGTCAATTTTGAAGAACTCTGAAGAGAAAGCTGGGGCACCAAAAAATCTGCATCTTTTGAGGAAAAAATCAGGAAGGTGCCAGTAGTACAGTAGTACTTTTGCAAAAAATTAAAAATATAGTGCTGAATTTATTACATTGGCAAAAGAATGTTTTTTTTCAAACAATGATTGTTTTTCAGATCAATCATGTGCTTGTTGAATTTCTATCCTGAAAACATTTTTGTTAGACCCCTTGCATCATGATGAGTCAACTTCAAATGCACACAACACTTTTCTTGGGGAGTTTGATTATTCTTGATTGGGGGGGGGGGGGGAGCAAAATGTAAAAGGTGTAATATTCTGTGGTTTAAACTGACTCTGGGCAAATCATTTGATGCTGAAGTTGGAGACATACTGTATTATGTTTTCACAATGAATTACAGGTGGATTCTCTACAACAAAATTCAAGGTGCCAGAAACAAATTTGTTGTAGATGAGGAAACCTTGAATTTATGGGACCAAAACAAATCATTATGCAAGGAACATTGATGTAGACAAGATCATCATTGCATGCAGAGAGGGCCTACCTGTGTATTAAGTTTTTCAGGAGCTGCTGGTTCTCAGAAATTTCCAAATACTGTACTGTACTGTACTGTACATATTTCAAAGAACAATGCAGGATGCCTTTTATTTTTCTTCTTCTTATGTGGACAAGGGCTGCCAGGTGGCAGAGCAGAAAGATCATGGTTGACTTGCCATTGCCTATTCCCCACAAGGTATCTGGCCAAACTGGATAAGAGCAGGTGAGTGCATTGTATTGTATTGTATTGTACAGTATTGCCATTGAGTGACCCAATAAGTGTCCCTTGGCTGTGTTTCACAAGTCAGAGATCACTTGCCTCAGCAGCTTCCCCTGGTTCAGTCGCATTTTATATAGTGTTTTGTGACTTATTTCTCTTTGAATGCTGTTTCCAACTATGCTGCAGTTTGGATTGATTTGTGGAGATTTTGTTTCAGTATGGTGATTGATCATCAGCAGTAAAATCATTCTGGCTTTTTTATTTTTGTGTGCAATGATGATATTATGTATGGGATTTATACATGAGGGTTGTCCCAGTTGGCTGTGACCTGTGATATTTTTAGATCAGGTGTGATTGTTTTAAAAAATATATATATATATACTGTATATCATTACATAGCCTATGATGTTCTGAAGTTGAGGGATTTTTTTCAGATTTTCAAAAATGTTTTTCAATTTAATGCATGGTGATAAGTAAAAACATTCCAGTTACAGCCAGAGTTCTCCCTTTATGCCACAGATAAAGTGCTACAAATTTTTCATGCTAGTTTAAAAAGTTGCAATTTTCTGTTGTTTTACCAATAATATTTTTTGAAATTTGGGATGATAGGTTAAAACTACAAAATAATTTTTTGTAGTTGGCTTAACAAATTTTCAGCACCCTGTGACAGATGGGTGGAGAACTTTGGATGGAACTGGAAAGTTTTTATTGATCATCATGCAGGAAATTGAAATATACTTCTCTGAAAATAATCTAGAAAAATCCCATAAGCTTAGATGAGCATCATGGGCCAGTATGTCATGATTATTATTTTTTTTCACAATCACATCTACTCTGAAAATATCAGAGGTCGCATGTAACTGGGACAACCCTACTTCTTTGTATAAGCACATATAGGCCAGAGAATAATTGTGTTATTTTGGCTTTTTTTATTTCCTCAATTATTTTGAATGTGATTTTCTCAGTTTCATTGATTTGAATTTATGTTTTGAAAAAGGTGGGGCTTTAATTCTGTTTTATTTGGATGAGCAATGACATTTTTTTCTTGGAGAAGTTTCTTGTGGATGTGATTGACCATTGATTGACTGGCCAATGGAAATCATAACTGTATTCCTGGTTGCTTGCTGCTTCTTTGTTCCTGGTGAGTCTTCACAGCTGGTTTTTTTAAAAGTGAATTTGGCTTTAAACATGTTTATGAAACAATATGTATAATAGTTTTCCCACAAAGTGTTTAATTATTTGAAATTCAATAATGAGACCTGGGATAAAATTTGGTGCAATGAACATTTTTTTTTATATCAGGGGTTGAATAACATTGAGATAGTAACATTTTTTTGCAAGAGCCTTAAACATACATTTGATATGAATTCTAATTTTGATCCAGTTATAAATAACATTTTCTTTTACAAGAAAACCATTTTTGGAATCTAGAAAATAATTTTTTGGAAAAGAAAATTTCAATTGTCAGAATTCTAACAACATTTTGTAGTCAAATAGATGGAGCCTGAAATAAGGATATTTTTTGTAAATGAGACATTGTTGACTATTACATAAAATTTTGTTCTAGAAATCCCAATAGGACCAGTTGTGAAAATGTCTGTCATATTAAAAGTGTTATACTTGAGCAAGGCTGAAATAAGACTGTGTTGGCAATAACTGAATAAGGAGCTGTAACAAAGAATCAGAATTTGTCTGAAAATATTTGTTGTAACAATATTGTATTTCAATGTGGTGAGAAATGTTGCAAGATTCTACTGTACATCATCATATTTTGTAACTCAATCAATTGAAATAAATCTTGAAAGAATTCATTTTCCTAGTAACATTTCAATTTTGAGCCTGTTGATTTTTAAACTTAAATTCTTGAGAAATTTTGAATTATATAGGCTGTATTATACTAACCTTTTTATTGCAATAGACAATGTGAAATAAGTTCTTGCTTGGATATTTTGATTGAACTTGTGTTTTAGTTTAATTTTAAAAATTTTCAGTTGTAGCAGCTGGTTTTGGAGATGCTCTACCATTTTTTTTGTGTGAGGAAAATTGGTTTTAAAATTTCTGTTCTACCAGTTGTTTAGAAATTAATATGGTAAAAATGAAGTGCCTTTTGTATCTGAGTGGATTTTATTCTTCTTGGAAAAAATATTTGGTGTATTCAGAATGTTCCCATTTCTCAGGAAGTGGCCATGGAAGAAAACTCTGCTATACTCTCACACATATAAAATTTCCACACAATCACAATTGGGTCCAAATTCATGAATCACACATGTTGAGGAGAAATAAAAGAAAAGCCCTGGGGGCATTTCCCCCCCCCCCGGAAGAATGGAAACAAAGTTATCAACAACTTTTCCGGCCACTTGCCCCAGAGTCTCTTTTTTTTTTTCCTGCTCCCATTTCTTTTTTTGGAAGAGAGAGAGAGAAAAAGCTTTTTGAGATGCGGGAATTTTCTATTGTTTCCATGTGGCATTGTCATTTTTATTTCCAGTAAAGGCCCTTCCTTTTCAGTCTTCTTAGAAGCAGAATCTGTGTTGATGAATGTGTAGGAGTTTTCAGGAGGGTTGTCCCAGTTGGACGCGACCTCTGATATTCTTTTTTTTTTTAGAAAAAGTATGTGATTGTAAAAATTAAAAAAATGAAACCATATATAGCTCATGATGTTTCTAATAAATCTTGAAAGGAATATTAGATATATGTTATAATTGAATATTAGAATTTGTTCAAAAATGTTTTACAGTTTTATTAATTTACTGCATGATGATGAGTGAAATTTTTCCAAATACAGCCAGAATTTCTTCACCCATGTCAGAGGGGGCTGAGAATTGATTTTTTGTGTGGCCATTTTCTAAACTTTAGAACATTTTATGAATCAAAAACAAACCTTTAAATGCCTTTAGCTGACTTAATACATTTTTAGCACTATGTTATGAGTGATGCAGAATTTCACTCATCATCATGCAGTAAAATGAAAAAAAAACTTTTGCAAAACCTGAAAAAAATTCAGAACATCCTGGGATATGTCATGAATATTTTTTACAATTACACCTATTTTAAAAATATCACAGGTCGCGTTCAACTGGGACAACCCTTGCATTTTATATTTTAAAAAGATTTTTTTCCCTAAAAAGAGAGAAAATTTTCCTTTGAGCTCTTGGGAACCATTTCATCATTTCTCCTTTATAAATTTCATAAATTGCCTCATTTTTTTGTGTGACAGAGACAGAAATACTTTTTCATGTAGGAAATATTTGAATTGAAGAGAATGATTAACAATAAAGCATGCATGTAATACTGTACATTTAAAATCAAAGCAAGGGTTTATGCATTGATTCACTTATCAAGAGGGAAATTGTTGCATTCTGAACTGCTTTTCATTTGAATTGTAATGGAAATTTGAAAGAAAAAGCAAGAGGAAAATGTTTTCCCATAATTTTCAGACTTAATTTTAAATGAAATTAAGTTCAAGTGTATAAATCATTACAGAAACACTAGGAATTTTAAATTGGTTAAATTTACTTTTTTTCAAATTTTGTTGAAATTCATAAATATAGCAAATAAATGAGCTTTTCAAAGGTACTGACAAAAGCAGAAGAAATACAAGGCAGTGGAAATCTCACCATGAGGAATTTTTGCAATTCATTACAGGAAATTATATGTTCTTCACTGATACATTCCAGTTACAGCCAGAGTTCTCCCTTTATGCCACAGATAAAGTGCTACAAATTTTTCATGCTAGTTTAAAAAGTTGCAATTTTCTGTTGTTTTACCAATAATATTTTTTGAAATTTGGGATGAAGGTAAAAACTACAAAATAATTTTTTGTAGTTGGCTTAACAAATTTTCAGAACCCTGTGACATATGGGTGGAGAACTTTGGATGGAACTAGAAAGTTTTTATTGATCATCATGCAGGAAATTGAAATATACTTCTCTGAAAATAATCTAGAAAAATCCCATAAGCTTAGATGAGCATCATGGGCCAGTATGTCATGATTATTATTATTTTTTTACAATCACATCTACTCTGAAAATATCAGAGGTCGCATGTAACAGGGACAACCCTACTTCTTTGTATAATTACATAGGCCAGAGAATAATTGTGTTTTTTTGGCCATTTTTTGATTTTCTCAATTATTTTCATTGTGATTTGTTCAGTTTCATTGATTTGAATTTATGTTTTGAAAAAGGTGGGGCTTTAATTCTGTTTTATTTGGATGAGCAATGACATTTTTTTCTTGGAGAAGTTTCTTGTGGATGTGATTGACCATTGATTGACTGGCCAATGGAAATCATAACTGTATTCCTGGTTGCTTGCTGCTTCTTTGTTCCTGGTGAGTCTTCACAGCTGGTTTTTTTTTAGTGAATTTGGCTTTAAACATGTTTATGAAACAATATGTATAATAGTTTTCCCACAAAGTGTTTAATTATTTGAAATTCAATAATGAGACCTGGGATAAAATTTGGTGCAATGAACATTTTTTTTTATATCAGGGGTTGAATAACATTGAGATAGTAACATTTTTTTGCAAGAGCCTTAAACATACATTTGATATGAATTCTAATTTTGATCCAGTTATAAATAACATTTTCTTTTACAAGAAAACCATTTTTGGAATCTAGAAAATAATTTTTTGGAAAAGAAAATTTCAATTGTCAGAATTCTAACAACATTTTGTAGTCAAATAGATGGAGCCTGAAATAAGGATATTTTTTGTAAATGAGACATTGTTGACTATTACATAAAATTTTGTTCTAGAAATCCCAATAGGACCAGTTGTGAAAATGTCTGTCATATTAAAAGTGTTATACTTGAGCAAGGCTGAAATAAGACTGTGTTGGCAATAACTGAATAAGGAGCTGTAACAAAGAATCAGAATTTGTCTGAAAATATTTGTTGTAACAATATTGTATTTCAATGTGGTGAGAAATGTTGCAAGATTCTACTGTACATCATCATATTTTGTAACTCAATCAATTGAAATAAATCTTGAAAGAATTCATTTTCCTAGTAACATTTCAATTTTGAGCCTGTTGATTTTTAAACTTAAATTCTTGAGAAATTTTGAATTATATAGGCTGTATTATACTAACCTTTTTATTGCAATAGACAATGTGAAATAAGTTCTTGCTTGGATATTTTGATTGAACTTGTGTTTTAGTTTAATTTTAAAAATTTTCAGNTTTTCCTGCTCCCATTTCTTTTTTTGGAAGAGAGAGAGAGAAAAAGCTTTTTGAGATGCGGGAATTTTCTATTGTTTCCATGTGGCATTGTCATTTTTATTTCCAGTAAAGGCCCTTCCTTTTCAGTCTTCTTAGAAGCAGAATCTGTGTTGATGAATGTGTAGGAGTTTACAGGAGGGTTGTCCCAGTTGGACGCGACCTCTGATATTCTTTTTTTTTTTAGAAAAAGTATATGATTGTAAAAATTTAAAAAATGAAACCATATATAGCACATGATGTTTCTAATAAATCTTGGAAGGAATATTAGATATATGTTATAATTGAATATTAGAATTTGTTCAAAAATGTTTTACAGTTTTATTAATTTACTGCATGATGATGAGTGAAATTTTTCCAAATACAGCCAGAATTCTTCACCCATGTCAGAGGGGGCTAAGAATTGATTTTTTGTGTGGCCATTTTCTAAAATTTAGAAAATGTAATGAATAAAAAAACAAAACTTTAAATGTCTTTAGCTGACCTGGTACATTTTTAGCACTATGTTATAAGTGATGGAGAATTTCACTCATCATCATGCAGTTAAATGAAAAAAAAACTTTTGAAAAAACCTGAAAAAATTCAAAACATCCTGGGATATGTCATGATTTTTTTTTTACAATTACACCTATTCTAAAAAATATCATAGGTCGCGTTCAACTGGGACAACCCAAGCATTGTATATTTTTAAAATAATGTTTTCCTTGAAAAGAGAGAAAATTCTCCTTTGAGCTCTTGGGTAACATTTCATCATTTCTCCTTTATAAATTTCATAAATTGCCTCATTTTTTGTGTGACAGAGACAGAAATACTTTTTCATGTAGGAAATATTTGAATTGAAGAGAATGATTCACAATAAAGCATGCATGTAATGTACTGCATTTGAAAGCAAAGCAAGGATCTATGCATTGATTCACTTATTCAAGAGGGAAATTGTAGCATATTCTGAACTGCTTTTCATTTGAATTGTAGTGGAAATTTGAAAGAAAAAGCAAGAGGAAAATGTTTTCCCATAATTTTCAGACTCAATTTTAAATGAAATTAAGTTCAAGTGTATAAATCATTACAGAAACACTAGGAATTTTAAATTGGTTAAATTTCTTTTTTTCAAATTTTGTTGAAATTCATAAATATAGCAAATAAATGAGCTTTTCAAAGGTACTGACAAAAGCAGAAGAAATACAAGGCAGTGGAAATCTCACCATGAGGAATTTTTGCAATTCATTACAGGAAATTATATGTTCTTCACTGATTTTTTCCATCATTTCTTCTACAATTTTCATCTGTATCATGGAGTTTTACTTAAAGTTGTGTTTCTGCCATGAATGGAGAAAAAACATGAAAAAGACTGAGCATTATTCCATTTTATTACTTTTTTTCAAAATTACAATAACCTCCATAAGAGCACTGAGAAAAAATATATAGAAAGGTCCTGTTTTTCTTTTACCTCATGAAATGGTTGAGTAATGTTGTATTGAACATGCAAGGTTCTATATATACAGTGAAACATGGTGCAGAGGCTTAAGTTTCTTGTGATACCTCATTGTTCTCTGGAGCCTTGACAGAATCTATAGTCTTGCTTTTACATCCAGAACAAGTTGGTAATCTTGTTGTAAAGAATCCAAACATGATGATGCAACTCTTGCATCTCTTTTGGGACCACTAAAAATAATCTTTCACTGTCCCAAGTTTCAAAATTTTTGATGCTCAAAATCAATTTACTGTATCTGGTCCAGCTTATTTATTCTAAGATGAAAAAAGAAATTAAATTAAAATTTACTTGGTTAATTTTAGTGCTGTTATTTTTACAAAAATTCAAAAGAGTTACACAAAGCATAAAATTGGCAACTTTTGGACAGTCTTCAGAAAATGAAAGGAATTTTTCAAAGGCTTGGAATTAAAATGTTGTGATCAAAAGATAAATTTGTACATTCTACAGTTTTCATATCATAAAGGAAATGCTCATCAATGAGTAAATCTTTATTTTCTTACCTTGGTTTTGAAAGAGACATGGACTAGATAACTTGAGATGATGCATAAAATGTTGAGTCTAATTATTGAAATTGCAAGAAACATAATACTCATCCCAAAAAATAAATTTAATATCCTACTATTTTCAAATCATTCTTTCTTACAATTTAAATTAGAATGAGAAATTTCAATTTGAATTTAACAAAACATTTCTTTTATTTTATTTTAAAGATTTTCTAAAAATTAATCATCTGGTACTTTTTTATTGTAAATGATATACTCTCATTTCTTTAATTTTATTTCTAAAGTAAATACAATTCTTTTATTTTAATGAGTGTTCCAAAGTTATTTGAAATGTGAAGAATTTTTCAAAGGTTTGGAATCAACATTTTGTGATCAAGAAAAATTGTATACTCTACATTTTTCATATTCAAAGAAAACTTTCCTGAATTTGTAAATGTTTATTCACTTATGTTGGTTTTAAAATATATATTAACTGGAGTAGTTTAGGCACAAAATGTTAATCCCAAACCTTGGAAATGGAAGGAATTTTTCAAAGGTTTGTAATCAACTTTTTTGCTCAAGATCAATTTATCCATTCTACACGTTTCATATTAAAAAGAAAATTTTCATCAATTTGTTAATGTGTATTCCCTATCTATATGTTGATTTTAAAAGAAGAATTGACTTTATAAATCAAATTCAGGCAAAAAATGTTGATTCAAAACCTTGGAAAAATTCAATTGATTCCTTTATCATAGAGATCCTGGATTTTGTCAAGAAGTTTCACCATTTCTTGCCTGACATAAAATTATCAGGTTCTGATTAATTTTAAAATTGACAACTAAATAATTTGTATTCATATAGTATATTAAGGGAATTTTTCACAAGGTTTGGAAGCAATCAGTCAGGATTTTTCTAAGCTTACAAAAATTGTTTCTCTCCAGGCAATAGCCTTTTTTTTTTTGCTTGATGGACCCGGAATAGATAAAAGTCCATTAACCGAGACACCATTTAATCGGATCCAATTACTGTCCAAGATAATTGGGCTTATTCATCTTCCTCATTTGTTCTGTTTGCGTAATTGGCTTCTTTTTGTGTGTGTGTGTGTGTGTTTGACTTGGAGGAAAATGGTCCAGTGATTCTTTTTTTTATTTAGAAATAGTAAATGAGTGTGTGTGGTCCATTAATTAATTGGTGCTTTGACTTTTCCGCGTCATTGGGATTATTCTAAAGGTTTTTTTTCTTTTTTTTAGTATTGGGACAAGGTTTTAATGGGTTTTATGTCCTTTTATGCTGATAATTTTTGTTTGGTAAAAGAAAGAAATGTTTTAATATTTTAATGCTGTTGAAATAATTTTTGAGACTATTTTTGCTGAATAAAAAATTGTTTTTTTTTTTGTAAATTGAATTGATTTTCATGACTATATATATCTTGAAACAGAAAAAAGTTTGTCATTGTTTTAATGTTGTATAAGAAATGTGTGAGCCTCTTTTATTTTATCAATTAACATCATCCATCTTGTTTATGTTCTTGTTTATGTGTGTGCTTAGATGATTGTTTCCAGTGGAAGAAGAAAATTTGATTTTTTAGAAAGTAGAAAAAAATCTTTAGCCTCCTCTATTTTTAACACGTTTTTATTAACTCGCTTTCTTGTCTGTTTGTTTGTCTGGATCAAATTTTGCAACTCAAATTTTGCTCACTTCCCTTCTAAAAAACCACGTTTTCAAAAAGCAAAAAATAACCTTAAACGTGGTGTGCATGGAGATTGTTGGGAAGAAGTGAAATACAAATGAAATAGATGCGCACCAGGTTTAAGGTTATTTTTTGCTTTTTGAAAATGTGGTTTTTTAGATTAATTTTTTAATCTACTAAATTTTTTTTGATCAACATCATCCATGTGTTGTTAATGTTCTTGTCTATGTCAGTAATTCAGGAGTTCAAAACAAATTTAAATGTGTGCTTGAGAGGTGTTTATTTTCAATTGATGAAAGTAGAAAAAAAATAATTTGAGGCAGCATTTTTGCCATCAGTGAGGTGGACAGTAATATATTTTATTAATTGTATCAAGTGTACAGTACAGGATTTCCCATGCAAATATGTTCTTAAATTGTGCATAGAATATATTGAAATGCACGTTTTTCAATGGTGAAATCAGTATGTTTTTTTTTTCTTTTGGCATATACTGTATCATTCATATATTATAATGAGGTAGAATTTTACTTTATAAATTGTGGAGTTTTGAATGTTGCTGCATTTTATTTTTCAGGCAATGGTCAAGGCTTCTTTGATCAGCTGGAATTCAAACAATGTTATGCATGTGCTGACTGTGAATGGTTTGACCCTGACACCACCCCCAGGTGCACCAGACCAGCACAAAATCCCCTGGTACCACACTCCATTGGGTACAGCTTCCCTGACTCTCTGAGCACCAAATCCTGCATCAAGGTCATTGACAGAGGTGAGCCATTTATTTTTTTGCAATTCCCTGTGTGCCAAAGTGTTTCAAGATGTCTGACTCACTTATTTTCATTGAATTTGATTGCATTTTATAATTTGTTTTGACCAAGTTTCAAATGTGTTCATGAAGCATTTTATTGCTGTGATGTGGATGTACTGTACATTCTCAAAATCAATGATCCATTTCAGCTGTCAAATTCATGCAATGTTTAAAAAAAATACAGTCATTACTTTTAAAATAGGCTTTGAGGTATTCTGTTGTTTATTGAGTACTTCCTTGTATTATGGTGAAGTGATGTATAAATCACCATACCTAACATACCCATTTGTATATACAGTACAGGCAGTCCTGATTATTACAGGTACGGTAATTTTGAAATATTTTCAATGAGCATATCCAAAATCTAAATGATATGTATTCCAAATAAACATTCATCATCTTGTATAATTTCATCAAGATTGATTCTGAAAATGAAAATTGCTCACCATTGTCAAATATATTTAAAAAGAAAATTATCTTGTAATAAGTATAAGCTGTCTTTCTTTCAAGTCTATTGGGTTCATTGGATTTCTATACACAGTGATGTTGAGGATTATGACTCAGAAATGCAGCTGCCCAATTAAAAAAAAGTCTACTCATTCATCCAAGGTTCTAAAAAACATGCATTCCAATTATTATTTACTGTATTTTTTTATTTGTGACAGACAGTATACTTTGATGATTGAAATTTTATTTATATATACATTTTTCAACAGAAGGAATCAATCAATCAATCAATCAGTGCATTATTGTTTATTCCTTTTTTCAGATGGAAGAGTGTACAGAGGATGTCACAACAGAGTGGCAAGAGACTGTGTCATAGTGGAGAATGTGACAGCCTGCTACTGTGAACACTCATTATGCAACAGTGCTGACACCAGGGCCAAGATGGCGACCTTGCCTTGGGTGGCTGTTCTGGCAGTGGGACTATTAATGGCTGCCTGGGTTTCTGATGCTGGTAGTGGTTGCTAGGATATTCTCTCTGGGATGATGTCACTGTAATGCATTGTTTGAGGCATTGCTTAATCTGATGGAATTGTGTGTCTGCTGTATATATATATATATAAAGAAAAAGGGGGGGTGAGAGAAAGAGAGAGAGAGAAAGTTGTTTGCTTTGTATAAGTTTCTATATATATGCACACCTTGTACAAGAATAGAATCAGACTTGGATCAGCAATGCTTTGTTATTTGGCTCCAAACAC